TAAAAAATGGGGGACCCATTTAAAATAAGAAAGTTGCTATCAACTTCCGGTATTTCCAGAAGTGCCGCCATATTGAAAATATTTTTAATCGATAGATCTCGTTGTGAAACAATGATGTGCAAAAAAATTCCGATCTAGGTATTGTAGTTCTCTAGAAACTCCTAATGCACGCTCAGCCTGAGACACCCTGTATATATATTTAATATATGAAAGTGAAAATTAATGGTGTACGCTTAAATTATATTTTGAATATTTTAAATTATTTTATTACTGAAATGATTTCCGTTTTGCCTTTTTGTATAATAAAATCACAGCCATTTATGTTTCTTTGATTTGTTTATCCCCCGAATTACTAAGCAGTCTATTTATTTTCTGAGTTAAATAATATCTTGCATTTTTGATTTTAAGTGGAAAATCCAAGCTTACTGTTTATCATTTTATATATGGATATTTTTACATTTATTTCCCATTACGTGGAATTCAATATATAAATTTAATTGATAAAAACTTCGGTACGTGCATATATTTATAAGATGTATTGCAAATAATCTGTTATAATATTTTGATAAACGATATTTAATAGTTTCGATTTATACAATAATTTTTGGATATCCTATACATAATATAGTTTTAAAGGGATTAATATAAAAGGATCGATAACAATATTCTTGGAGTAAGATTTTTGAAAGAACATCTAGCAAAAATATTATTTCAATATTTTAAGGCGCCGTTTTTGAAGTGTTTACTTAAATAAGTCCACAGAAAATTATTTGGCTTCGTAGTATACAGTGTACCTATTAATTTGCAAGTATGAATCCATAAGGAAGTGTGCCACTACTCTGTGCAATTTTGTTAAAATACTGTTATGAACTTTTTAATTTTTGATTATTATTTTAATGTAATAAGTTATTATAATATAAAGACACTACACACACCATTGTTTAACGTTTTATGAACGCGGTCCAAAAAAATCCAACAGTGTAAGAGTAACCTTAAAAGTATACGCGTAAAATTTGATATTTTGAACTATTTACTTAAACTTAAATAAACCATAAAGGAAATATTATTATAAAAAATATCTATATTTTGCTCGAAAAGCGTACTATTAAAGCAGTCTCTTTATTCGAAAATGTGAATAAGTTTTTGTTTTTAAAAACTGTATTTGTTATTTAATTAGGGTGCCTTTTTTAAAAAAAGGTATAGTAGAAAATAGGTTCCCTGTAGGTCATTTAAAAGGTTGTTGTTCGTAGTGCTTGGGTATAATGTCATACAGTGTGTCAATTTTAAAACCTCCCACCCTTAATATCTTTCTTGCAGTTAAAAATATGAAAAATTGGAAAGACACGTCAATTTTATTTCTAAAAAAGATACTTAAAATGAATATTTTTCGGCTTTTTTTTCAACCCCTTAGGAGGGGTAGATGTCACCTTTACAATCTTAAATGGGAATGGGGGTCAAGTGGCACATCGTTTTAAGGGGCGTTTAATTCTCTTTTCAGTGGTATCCTTCTTTATTGCTTTTTATCCAGAGGTTTCCGAATAATCACGTTTCAAAGGTGCAGAAGCAATTAAACGTGCCAGATTTTGGTTTTCAGGTTAGTGTTTACACAAAAGTTATTGCAATGGATCTCCTTGTAGTACAAATGAGAAGATTAGGTTACACCACTTACGCCCTATCTTATAAGTTAATGAAATAATAATGTTGTCCATTTTCAAACACCTCCCTAACATTTCGGAAAATTTCACCGGGAATTGACTGGCATTCTGCTGTAATTCGCCTTTTAAGATCATCAGTATCAGTAGATTGTTTTATAAACAATGGATTTAAGATGTCCCCCCCAAAAACAGTCTAAGTGATCTTGAAAGCCATTCAATTGGTCCCCTTCTGCCAATCCATGTACCTGCAAATCTCTCATTTAACCACTGTCGGACCGGAAAAAAATAATGAGCTGGAGCACCGTCCTGCTGGAATGTTAACAATTCCTCCTGTGAAACTGATTAGAGATTGCCACTCGTTCGAATTTAAGAAAGGAAACGTTAATGTTTATGATGCTTTCTGTCTATTAGTATTTCGAATTTCGACCCCCTAGAAAAATGTAATGGTTACGTCCATGTTGCCACCTAATCTTCTAATCATTTGTACTACAAGGAGATCCACTGAAATAATTTTTGTATAAACACTAGCCTGAAAACCAAAATCTCAATGCAGGCATGTTTAATTGTTTCTGCATCTTTGAAACGCGATTATTAGGAAATATCTGGACAAAAAGCAACAAAGTAGGATACCACTAAAAAGAGAATTAAATGTCCTTTAAAACGATGTGCCACTTGACCCCCATTCCCATTTAAGATTGTAATGGTGACATATACCCTTCCTAAGGGGTTGAAATAAAAATGCCAAAAATATTCTTTTAAATGAATATTTTTCCTTACTAATAAAATTGATGTGTCTTTCCGATTTTTCATAATTTTAACTGCAAGAAAGATATTAAGGGTGGGAAGTTTTAAAATTGACACACTGTATATCAATGCACTATGAGATGTATTTAAAGCCAATATTAAATGGATACAATCGAATAAATGGGCTATATGGAATTAAAAATAATGTAGTTTATACTTTAGGTTTGTTCTGTCCCCTAAAGTGTCAGTATTTTGTTATAAAACTATAATGGACCAAGATTTAGATTTTTAAGTTTCATCATTCCACAATAATAGATCCACGAATAAGACTTTTTTCATAGTTTTTCCTAAATATTTTTTTTACTTACACATAATTTTAATGTCATTTTTTATATAACATTGTATTGTTAATTAATTTTAGTTGACTTAGTTTTACGTATTTTTATTACTTAAGTTTTGCTTTAATATATTGTAAATAGAAATCTTTTAGCACACGTTAATAATTGTGTGCCTGCTGAATTACAGAACAGAAAATTATCTTAAATAATTTTAAACCGTTTTCGGTTATAGTTTGTCAAACAAATGATTTTAATTTGCAGTAACCACATTTAACAATAGCCCACTACACAATTCCCCACATTTAACCACCTTGATGAAGAGTATCAGTTATTTGAAATAAAGCAAAAGTTTTCGTTAGTTACATTTTTCGTGTTTTTCTTTTTAGGCTGCTTTTGTGAATTTGATAGTACAAATATAGATTTTTTCGTATTGTATTATCAACTTCATTGAATATAACAAACGATTCCATGCTCCACGTTCTTTTTCTTGTAGAGTTTTTTACCAGAGTGTATACTTAATAGATGGTAGGTGAATATTGTCGAATTGTGACAGTAACAGTACAAGGTTAGGTTTATAGCCACAATATAGATTTTTTGTACATGAAACACTAATATGGTGATGGCACTTAACTAATGTAGTCGTTTAAGAATACTTTACTTAGTACATAATAGTAATTGTAGCTTACATTTAGGATCTTTCCCCAGCTCTTCATCAAAGTGGTAGCATAAACAGGTTCAAACCAATCAAATTACTATTTAACCATGGCATATTTCAAAACAGATCATTTCGAAAAGATGGTTAGTTATTGATATTCAAGATCCAGATCAGTCCAGATCTAATTAGATAGTAAATTTTGCATTTATTTAAAATCTAATTTTTTTAATGGCGAATGCGCCAAAATTGTTCTCTGTACATTTTTTAATGAAATATTTAAATATAACTTCGTATTATATAATTTTTATTTAAAATACACATTTAATATATCTAATAATATCTCGTAAATTAATATTACTAATTTTATATAAATATTTATACATTTTTGTACCTGTTTAATGGTGCGCATTTCGGTTTAAAAATAATCAAATGTACCTATACATATTTTTTAATCTAGATTTGTTAAAAATTATTAGGAATGACATAAATTATTATATATGTGATTGATAGATCAATGATTAAGACTGAAAGTTTAGAGGTATGCAAAATTGTAGTTGGAATTTTTACTGTTTTCTAATGTTTTAGAAAAAAAAATCATTTTAAAATATGCCATAGCTGGACAGATTAAAATTTAACCATTACTGCACCGTTATACAGACCTAACTGGGACCAAATGATAGATACTAATTCATATCCAAAGATTATCAAACAAAAATTTAAAAATCAACAAAAAATTACATATTTTAATTTACCCAACAACCTTATAGAACAGTGCGATTTTTTTGTTTGTATAAAAATATAATGTACAGATTATAAATTATTACGTTTTTTGACAATACATATGTTTGGAAAAGTTGCACTAAAATCATTTTAGGTTTTGATAAAAATGATTTTTGTGTTGAATGTCTCATATTAAAATTGTGACTATAATTGCCTTTTAGCATGAATATTACTATATTCTATATTGCGAGCAAGGACTGTTTTGTCAAATAGAACTTACCAAAATATTTTATTTGGAGACTTATTGATTGGAGACTATGACCGTGAAAAAATTGCTACTAAGGAATCTTGATTACTTTTTATCATTGAAGTTTCTACTTTGATAAAAACAGTTGTTCCTCGCCTAAATATCATACTGTTGTATTTTATGATGTAAAGGAAAAAAGGTTTGGTATATCTATTTTTATCATTAGGTGTTCACTTATTTAATGGCATAATATTTATCTGGCTTTTTTCCTAAAAAATACAACTATCCTTGTTCGTAAATATCTGTGACTCATGAATTATAATGTTTTATTAAAAGTTAGTGTTTGAACAATTACTGCTTTGTGGGAAATTGTTATTTTCAGAAAATATTTTAAAACCACAAAATAAAATTATACCAATACACATTGTATATTTATAATGTAATTCTGAAGTATACCAGTATTTATTATACTGTGGACTACATTACAATGTTTATAGGTGTTTTATTTAAACCCCTCTCTACCTTTATTAAAATATAATCAGTTGCTGTAAAATGAATGAATTATACACGTAAGTTCTAAAAACATCGTTTTATTTACATATTACAGCTGACATCCATGAACCACATAGAATTTTTTCTATCACTTCATTAGAAAAATCATGTATAAAAGTAAATTTATGGAAATTCTCTTCTTCCTCTTTCTTTAATTGCTTATATTTATTCCAGCCAGAACCATACAAATGATTATTATCTGAAAATGTAACTTAAATTCATTAAACAAAAAATTTAATCTGCTAAATAATTCAGAAAAATTGGTTGGTGGAGTGAAGTTTTTTTTTACTTGAAGTCACTTATAAAAAACAACAAAACATCCAGTTTACAGGGTGTTCCTTATAATGACATGCTAATATTTAGGGGGGTGATTCTTGGACCTATTCTAAGAAAAAAACCTCATATGAATAACAATGTCCTTCCATCCGATGCAAAAAAGACTTTCCCACAAATCAGATTTTCAGCGATTTGATCCTGCAGTAAACTGACTAATTTTTTAAGCAAAAACTGTGCGTTGGACGAAAAAAATCAAAAGAAAAAAATTGTTTAAAGATGATTGGAATTTTGAAAATAATTTTTATTTTAAGAGAAGTCAGTGGTGGAGTACCATTTTTTTCTTCAAAAATATTCAATGTAAAACCCGTATGGACGGCACTGGTTGAAATAAATAAAATTGTTTGTACATCAGAAAAGGTATTTTGATGCATAGATGACGTATATCAAGTTTCATAAAGATACCTGTAATAAAATCAGAGTTATTATCATTATTTTTTTTAGCAAATCTTTCCCCCTTTATCTCAGAGATTAGGATGTTTAGGACATACATTCATATGAAGTTAATAAATATTAGCATGTCATTAAGGAACACCCTGTATTTTTTACCTTTAGAATAACTGAAATCAGTTACATGAAAACGTGTTCCTGCTTTACATTCTAAACACTTTTCTTGTGCTGGCATGAACTTAACCCAGTAGATACTGTAATTTAGACATCAATACCATACCTAGAAAAACGAAAATAAACAAAAATGAACCAACAAACCAAACCTAAACAAAGCAATCAAAACACGTTGTAAGCTAAAACGCGTCTGTTTACGAATTTCAATTGCCGAGTACTTTTCAAATCTTGCTATATTTTACAATATTTTATCAACAAATGAAAACGGTACACTTCCGCAAGAAGTTTTTTGCGTGCCTGACGTGCCTGTGTTTAGAAAAATTTCCAGAATGAAAAACAGAAACATGTTTTCATGTAACTGATGGTTTCAACTATTAAGTTGAAAAACTAAATTATGCATTTTCGCAGAAAATTTTTTGTGACATACTATTCAAAAAGGCTTCCAAATACTAAATAAACAAATATTTCTTACGTAACTGTTTTCAAGTAAATGAAAGTAGCCCTGATTTCAGCAATTCTATAGTTGAAAAATTGAAAATGATGCATTTCTGCAGAAAAAATTTTTTGATATACCCTCAAAAAGGCTTCCAAATACTACAAATATTTCTTACATAACTGATTTCAAGTAAATGAAAGTAGCCCTGATTTCAGCAATTCTATAGTTGAAAAACTGAAAATGATGCATTTCCGCAGAAAAATGTTTGTGACATACTATTCAAAAAGGCTTCCAAATACTAAATAAACAAATATTTCTTACGTAACTGATGTCAAGTAAATGAAAGTAGCCTTGATTTCAGCAATTCTATAGTTGAAAAACTGAAAATAATGCTTCTTCGAAAAGGCTTCCAAATACTAAATAAACAAATATTTGTTACATAACTGTTTTCAAGTAAATGAAAGTCGCCCTGATTTCAGCAATTCTATAGTTGAAAAACTGAAAATGATACTTATTCAAAAAGGCTTCCAAATACTAAATAAACAAATATTTCTTACGTAATTGATGTTAAGTAAATGAAAGTAGCCTTGATTTCAGCAATTCTATAGTTGAAAAATTGAAAATGATGTTTATTAAAAAAGGCTTCCAAATACTAAATAAACAAATATTTGTTACTTAACTGTTTTCAAGTAAATGAAAGTAGACATGATTTCAGCAATTTTATAGTTGAAAAACTGAAACTGATGCTTATTCAAAAAGGCTTCCAAATACTAAATAAACAAATATTTCTTACGTAACTGATTTCAAGTAAATGAAAGTAGCTTTGATTTCAGCAATTCGATAGTTGAAAAATTGAAAATGATGCATTTTCGCAGAAAAATTTTTGTGAGATACTATTCAAAAAGGCTTCCAAATACTAAATAAACAAATATTTCTTACATAACTGATTTCAAGTAAAATGAAAGTAACCCTGATTACAGCAATTCTATAGTTGAAAAATTAAAAATGATGCATTTCCGCAGAAAAAAAATTGTGAAATACTATTGAACAAGGCAAATACTAAATAAACAAATATTTCTTACATAACTGATTTCAAGTAAATGAAAGTAGTTAGGGTTGCCACCTTTTGGCAAGGTAAAAAAGGACATTGGATTATGAAAAATGACCGGGGTGAGGGGGGGGGGCCTAAGCTGTTGATTGCAAACCGCCGATTATAAATCACTACTTTAAAATTTTGAGAAGCTCTTTTTAAGATCAAATGAAGCCCAAACTATAATTTGAGATTAAGCGGCGATATGTTTTACCTATTAGGAGTAAAAATGATAGTTTTTATGGCGAGACATTACAGGCGAGGCAAAAAAGTCATTTTTACTCCGAAGAGGACATGCTATTTTTTTCGAAATTCACAAATAATTTTTTGAATAATTTCAAACGTTGCAAATAATATAAGTAAGTAATTATACAGGGTGTCCGGAAATTAATGCAACAAAATTTGGTCAGAGATTCTTGAAAAAGAAATAGGTGACCCGTATTTTTTATATTTGGCGAGTGGCCCCCCTTTTCGGATTTACAGGCCCCTGAATTTCGCCCCTAAAAAGTGTTTTTTTAATATCTCAGGGCCCTATTGCGTTGTTTTACCATAAAATGACATTTTTTGATGCTATTAACTTTTGTTATTTTCATCAGTGGCGTCCCTACGGTATTTAAACTAAATATTATTGAAGAAAAAAATGGTACGCCACTGTTTTTTTCTAAAATAAAAAAATATTTTTAAAATCTACATTAAATTTGGAACAAATTTGATCTCTTGACTTTTTCTTGGTACGACGCACCGATTTCGCGTGCACCGATTTCGCGTAAAATCTACATTAAGTTTGTTCCAAATTTAATGTAGATTTTAAAAATAATTTTTATTTTAGAGAAAAAAACAGTGGCGTACCATTTTTTTCTTCAATAATATTTAGTTTAAATACCGTAGGGACGCCACTGATGAAAATAAAAAAAGTTAATAGCATCAAAAAATGTCATTTTATGGAAAAACAATGTGTACCAAATTTAGTGATTTTCGTCCAACAGGGCCCTGAGATAATAAAAAAAAAACTCTTTTTAGGGGCGACATTCAGGGGGCTGTAAATCCGAAAAGGGGGGCCACTCGCCAAAAATAAAAAATACGGGTCGCCTATTTTTTTTCAAGAATCTATGACCAAATTTTATTGCATTAATTTCCGGACACCCTGTATATCATGAAGTTATGGTTACACTTTGGTTACGCTCTTTGAATTTGACACTTTATGTTAATTTAATACGTTTTCCTACTTTTATGCTTAGTCGTAAAAGTTCTTTACTTTTATGCCTAAGCGTTACAATGACTTTTTTATATTGCCATCGCGTCGCAAAAAATTAATACTTTTGGCACGTTTAAAAAAATAAATTGGACAAAAGGAATAGTGCTGGTTGCTGTAGATAATTTTCTCAGGGATTATTATTTATCTCAGGGGAAATAAAAAAGGACAATTTGTTCCAAAAAGGACTGTCCTTTTCAAAAAAGAACAGGTGGTACACACCAAGCAATATTATTGTATGCCTATAACCACAGGCAACCTTAACGACTTGTCTTTCAGAACAATCTTTTATATCCACAACTTGTGGTGTTGCTAAAACTTGAACTGCATCTTTGTCAGAGGGTTCGGTAAGTCCTAACTGGCCATTTCCATTCCATCCCCATATATACAAATCACCTTCTGCACTTACAGCTGCCGAATGCCAACCACCTAATTAAAATTGATAAGTATTTTTTCTAAAGATTAACACAAATACATACCAGCTGCTATAGTAGCTATTTTGATACCTGCCAAGGCCTCTATTAGTTGGGGAGTAAGTTCATCTTCTAGTTCGCCAAGACCAAGTTGTCCACGACTAAAGAAATTAAAAAGTACATAAAAACTGTGTTTTTGTAGTCATTCCTAACTTACCTACCTCTACCAAACGAATAAACATTACCTAACTTATCTAATAATAAACAGTGTTCTCTACCTGTTTTTATTTCAACAATATCTTCACTTTTAAAGTTAACTTTTTCAGGAATAGTATAAAGAAGTCCTTCACTTGTATATGCTATATTTAACTTGGCACCACAACTTAACATTCTTACTACACGATTATCATCAATAAATTTTGGAAGCAAACTAATTTGATTAAGATCATCTACAGAAATTTTATACAATTGGCCAGAACTGTTGGCCACTATCACAGCATCTTCATTAGCTGTGATACACTTAATATCTTGTATACGTTTACAGTCTACAACATTATTTTCCAAACAGTTACAAAACACTTTTATTATATCATTGGAAACGATAACTGAAAAACTATGCTTTATTTCAAAATATTGTATAGAATCCTCTTCAATCGTAGGTTCAAATTCTTCAACACAGACTTCAGGTGAATTTAATTGATTATACAAATTAAAACCTCTACAGAATATTCTCATATTATCGATTTCAAGGGATTTAACTTAATATATTTGACCAGAGTATTTGACAAATAGTGTCAAGGCACAAGTCACGTTAATTTGTACTTTGAATCACATTGAATCTGCATTTCTTCTAGATATTAAACAAATTCTTATCTACTGCGTTTAATTTTTTCAAAAAATGGTAAGTAAAATTTTAAACTATTAAATGAGGTACAACGTTTTGTAAACAGTTACTTTTAATAAAGAAAAAAATTTAAAAAAGGAAAAGGAAATTATTTGTTATGAACGAAAGAATATGCCGTTTCCATGGAGATTTAACCCTAACCTAAATTTTTAACGTCATTTCTTGAACTATCAAAATTACTACAGAAATACAGAACCGGACTTATTAGTTCTTTCATTCAGAGAGGTATTAGGAAATATTAATTTTATAATTTTAGGGCCTTCTATCAATACTGCGGAAACTGACATCCAATCCTGATAAGGAATTAAGACTTCTGCTGCTGGGATTGGATAATGCTGGAAAGACGACTATTTTAAAAATATTGGCCTCTGAAGAAATAACCAATATAACACCAACAGCCGGTTTTAATATCAAATCAGTAGTAACTGATGGCTTTAAATTGAATGTTTGGGATATTGGAGGTCAAAGAAAAATACGACCATACTGGAAAAACTATTTTGAAAATACTGACGTACTGGTAATTTATTTTTAACAATTTTTAAATAATACTATACCGGGTGCGTCTCAAAAGTGGCTCACCCCTATAACTTTTTTTTTCTGCGAGATTAAAAAAACGAGATTCGGTATATTAGTATATGACATAAATTAAGATGGATTGACGTATTCAATTGTTTTCGGTCACTTCCTGTTACACGGGAAATAACTACAACTTTTAATTTTTAAATGGCACCTTGTATTTTTTTACTTTATTCGATAGAAAATAACACTCTGAATAGAATGACATATCATATGTCAACTTTTGACATATTCGCATATGATTTATTTGAAATTATAACTTGCGGTTTGTAACGAAAATTTGATTCGAAATACCATGTGTGTGGTATCAAATTATTCATAAAAAAATGCTTTTTTCAAATATGCTAACGAACCACCCTCCATTCCGTTTGAAAAAACTGAGATATTATTAAAAATACGATTTGAGCATTTTCTAACTGTTATTTGGACAAGACACCAAAAACATTAGACGATCCAATCTATTTTTCCAAGGCTCCTTGATTAAGAATTAGTGTTTTTAACATAGCTATGGCACTCTAGATTGAAATTTAAAATACAATTTTTTATTAAGCGAGAATGTCAAAAGTTGACATATGATATGTCATTCTATTCAGAATGTCATTGTCTATCGAATAAAGTAAAAAAATACCGAGGGTGCCATTGAAAAATCAAAAGTTGTAGTCATTTCCGGTAAAACAGTCATTAAATCCTAATTTATGTCATATACTGACATACCAAATCTCGTTATTTTATCTGAAAAAATAAAAAGTTATAGGGGTCAGCCACTTTTGAGACACACCCTGTACAACAAGAAGTAATTAATTTTGTTTTTACTACACTTATAATAAATATTTACATAAATTTCTTGCAGTTTTTAGGTATATAATAAAATTATATAAGAGTTTCTTGCCTTGAACCTGCTAATATAGAATATACAACATAATTTGGATCAACGGTGGTTGATCCACATTATGACGAACACAGCGTGGAATTAATTTCTATATTAGCAGTTCAAAGCAAGAAACTCTTATATAATTTTATTATATACCTAAAAACTGCAAGAAATTTATTTTCCATTATATATTTTGGGCTAGCCGAAAAAAGCCTTTATTTACTATCGACAGTCGTGCCTCGGTGGTACGAAAGTACTACCATTGCACGCAGGCCGCTGTCGCGATGCGGGACTTAATATCTTACCGCTACTTCAAGACAAGTCGTATTTATATATTCTTCTATTTATATATTCGTCGTTTTGTGGAAATACCCAAGCCCACCTGATGATGGGTTAGGGCCCTGAAACCGGTAGTGAGGGCCGGTTGATTCACATTATGACGAACACAGCGTGGAATTAATTTCTATATTAGCAGTTCAAGGCAAGAAACTCTTATATAATTTTATAAATATTTACTACATATCCATAATTGTTACAGTATGTACTGACAATTGTTATACTGATGCTTATAAATAACAGAAAAAATAATTCAATAAATATCTGCGCAATTTATTTCTATTTATTCCCATCTTCTACAAAGGAAATATAGCTATGTTGCCTTACTTTAAATAGAACACCCTTTATACTTTATTTATTCTACATGAAATTTTAATAATATCATATAATACCTTATGATCAAGAAAAAAAGGCGTCCAGTTGGCTGGGAAATGACGATCAAAAACATTTTAATTAGCATTGTAAATATTTCATAATTTATTCTAAACATTAATAGGTATTTTTTCAAAGACAACAAACATAAATTTATATAATAATTATAATAATATCTTGTAGAGCTTGTTTTATTTAAAACAAGCAGATTAATAGCCACTAAAAAACACCACATAAACCGTTCAATCTAGAAAGTGGAAAAATATTTTAAAATAAAGAAACACCGGGAAATCTTCTTAACTTGAAACGTGATGAACAATTCCGTTATACTTTTGTATTGCATGATTCTAATTGTTATAATCCTAATTGCAGATTTATGTAGTTGACTCGGCAGACAAAAAACGATTAGAAGAGACTGGAATTGAGCTCTACGAGTTGCTTAGTGACGAAAAACTTAAAAACGTACCACTCTTAGTGTATGCCAATAAGCAAGATCTTCCCGATTCTCTCACAGCTGCTGATTTAGCTGAAGCTTTAGGTCTACCATCTATAAAAGATAGGGCGTGGCAAATTCAAGCTTGCACTGCTTCCCAAAGCAAAGGAGTGCGCGAAGGAATGGAGTGGATTTGCAAAAATTTTAAATTTAAATAATAATTTTTTGTGTACTATGCTAGGTCTTATACTTTGGTGTTCCAAATTTGAGAGTGATACTAGAATCTTTAAAAGTACAAAAGAGATACAGCAAACGTTAAATCATAGTATTAATATTTTATGATTGAAACTGGCAGTATATTGCGCGTAAATGTGGAATATATTATATACTTTATGATCAAATAAAAGCGGCGTCAGCGATGGCTGGGAAATGTCATCGATCGTCATTTCCAAGCCAACTGGACGCCGTTTTTTTTAAATCATACGGTATTATACAGTGTCCGGCAGTCCGACAAGAGTGCAATCTATAGGCATCTATAGCCCCTAGAATAAAAAAAACTTTAGAATTTTGTTTAAGAGCAAACCTAATAAAGTGTGTACCTATAATAGGATGTATTTTTCGGAAAAATTTTAACTTCTATAGGATGGTTCAAAAAATTGAGAGGAGAGCGGGATGATTTTTTTTCAATGGAACATTTTCAGTTTCATTTTAGATCACTTTACATAATCCTAAAATATGAGAATATACAGGGTGGCGCACCTCATTCGCCTCGGTTGATTATACAAAAACGAAAAGATGTAGAAACGAAATATTTTATGAGTATATGTGGGAAGGCAATGACACAATTTAAAATTATTTTGAAATGTACAGGGTGTTTCAGAACTAAAGTTGTATTTTTATACCAAAGTTGTATTTTTTCTTATGGAACACCCTGTATTTTATTTCATTTTTGGATTCTTGGGCCCAAAAAAGGTATTTATTATAAGGGTTAAATATGTTTAAAATCTTTGGTTTTTGAGATATTTAAAGATATTTGAAAATGCAAGCTACAATAGAATAGATTATTAACACCCTGTACATTGCTTTTCAGAATTAATTCTCGTGCTGACTTGTAAGCTAGAGAAATAAACTTTACTAAAAAAATTAATTGCTTTGTTTAATGTATACAGGGGTATCAAAAATTGCTGGTCTATTTTAAATATTTATTTTACATAAAAACTTCTTTATTTCAAATACAATACCCTGTCTTTTTTTAAATAAATCGAAGTAGATTTAAAGGCTCTTTCAAACTATATAAGGGTTTCCTATACCTATCTAGCTCAGATTTTGAATAAAGAGCCATTTTTCAATAAAATGGGAACCAAGATGACTGATGTCAAGTTTCTAGCGACAGTTAGTAGCTGTTTTCAAAATCGAAATTAGTTTATAGACTTTATTTAAATGTATAGCAGTTTCCTTTTATTTAATTTGCCTACAGTAGTTTAATAAATAATATTTATTAAATATATGTATTTATTATTCTTTCAAGAAAAACGAAGAAGTAGTTATTTATTTTATGATCACTCGTAGATATATGGATTTACAATAAAAGAGCCAATTACGGCAAATTCATTTTCTTTACTTCCAACGACAGGTTTCTGTCTAATAGGTTTTTTATAAACCACACTACCATAGCTCTGCGAAATAGAAAAGTATTTTTTCAAGGAACACTTATCAGGAAGATTCCTATTTGGATGTCTTTGAGCATATATAGGCTCTTGAGGCGAAGAAACAATTTTCCTCACAAAATAAAATCACTAGCAGTCACTAGTAACAAATCCATTCGTTCCGCCAGCAGATACTGCTTTATTTTTCTTGATAAAATAATGAATAATGAAGTATAATAAGTATTAAACTATTGTAGCTAAATTTAAGTAAACTATTATAAATCTAAATAATAATGTCCACAAACTAATGTCGATTTTGAAAAGTGTTACTAGCTTTAACCAGAAAATTGCCATAGCGACACCAGCCATCTTGATTGCAATTTTATTGAAAAATCGCTTTTTATTCAAAATCTGAGCTAGATAGGTATAGGAAACCCTAGTATAGTTTGAAAGAGCATTTGAATCTGTTTCGATTTATTTGAAAAAATACAGGGTGTTGTATTTGAAATAACGAAGTTTTTATGTAAAATAAATATTTAAAATAGACCAGCAATTTTTGATACCCCTGTATACATTTAACGAAGGAATTACATTTTTCAGTAAAGTTTATTTCTCTGGCTAAAAGTCAGCAGGAATTAGTTCTGAAAAGCAATGTACAGGGTGTTAATAGTCTATTCTAATGTAGCATGCATTTTTAAATATTCTTAAATATCTCAAAAACAAACATTTTAAACATATTTAACCCTTATAATAAATACCTTTTTTTGGGGCCAAGAATCCGAAAATGAAGTAAAATACCGGGTGTTCCATAAGAAAAAATATAACTTTGGTATGGATCTTAGTTCTGAAACACCCTGTACATTTCAAAATAATTTTAAATTGTGCACATTCCCTCCCCGCATATACCCATAAAATATTTTGTTTCTACATCTTTCCCTTTTCGTATAATCGACCAAGGCGAATGAGGTGCGCCACCCTGTATTTCGATAGTTTCAGAGATATTAATAAATAAATAAAAAATATATATGTTTCAGCCTTTTTCTTAAAAAATTATTACAATTGCAAGAACTCTTCTTAAATCAAAACTATATTAGGGATTTACTTTACTATAAATATGGTAATCGTAAATCATACAGTATGTTCAAAATTATACGGCAAACTTTCTGAAATATAAATTTTTCTTCGTTATTTTAAATGGAAGACCCTGTATATTATTTTCTCAAAAGATGGGAAATTAGAAAATGAACATTTTTTGTATTTAGATTTATAAAATTTTTAACGATTTCGCAGATATTCGCGGTTTCATATTTCATATGGCATTTTCCACAGTCAATTTTTATCAAACAACCCAATAATTTTTCCCTCGTATTTTACCATTGAAACAGCCATATGAAATAATACTGCGTGTACAAAACAAAATAATTAAAAATTTTGAAATACTTTAAATACAAAAAATGTTCATTTTATAATTCTCTCTCTAATAAAAAAATAATATACAGGGTGTTCCAATTAAAAAAGAAAACCGAGGGGTAAACCGCAGAGGAATTATGGTGTACACTATGAAGGAATTCCACAGGAATTCCAAGGAATTACGAGGAATTCCAAGGAATTCCATAGGAATTACTAGGAATTCCAATTATTTCCGTAAGAATTCCAATGAATTCCAAGGAATTTCTTAGAAATTTAGAGGAATTCCACAGGAATTAAGAGGAATTACAAGCAACTTTATAAAAAATTAACGAACATTAGTAAACCATGAATACTATAATAGGTAGTACTAAATTTAAAGAAAAAACGTTTTGCAGGCGATTTTTACTATCCGTTTTTCGTTTTAGAATCGCTTCCAAAATTTCTCAATATCAAATATCTACAGGTTAGATAGATATTCTTTTAATTTAATATTGTATCCTCGATTATATATCTAAAATATATTCTAATAGTACGGCCGAACCACCCCCGAGAGATCTACTTATAACGTTCCCTGATTTCGCCATTTTAAAGAAACCCTCATAATATTTTTTTATTCAGTACTCAGAAAGTGTAAAATTAATACAACTTTGGGTGCACTTCATCAATGATACCATGGGTAATCTTATGGAATTTACTGATGATCGTATTATGACGTGCAACTGAAGTTTTATTAATTTCCTTTCCTATAGATACGAGTATAACTAGGTACCTATCATTTTCAAAAAATCTCGAGAAAAATTAATTTTAATAAGTAAGTTCCGACATATTTCCAGTATTTTCACCTCATGATCCCCTATTAGTTCTAAAATTTAACTAAAAAAACGTAAATCTCGTAAGAGTACTTTTTATTGTTAGATCTAGTACTTATAGAGACATTAGACATTTATAAAAATCACCAGAAAATTCATAGCGGAACTGCGAAACCGAGGTGGCAACGCTGGTTCAGACTGAAAGAGTTACCGAGTTCGTACCAAGGAATTCCAAGGAAGACCTTGAATGATTGACCTTGACCTTGAAGACCAGGAATTCCAAGGAATTCCGAAGGAATTACGAGGAATTCTGAGGAATTATTTGAGTAAAAGGAATTACGGTGTACACTTTTCCCTCTGCGGTTTACCCCTCGAAGAAAACAAAGAAAAATTATTTTATATTTTAGACACCCTGTATGATTTAAGATTACGATATTTATAGCAAAGTAAGTATAGACTATAGACCATCTATAGTATTATAATATCAGTAATAAAAAAAATAAAGTATGTATAGTTAGGTTAAAAAATATATTTTTTTATTTATTTATTGAAATTCGAATTATATTTACTCATATCTTAGGATGATGTAAAGTGATCGGAAAGAAAGCCAAAAATACTATAATATACAGGGTGTTTTAAAAAAGAAGTCATTTAAAAAAATCATCCTGATCCACTCACACTTTTTTGTGCCACCCTATAGAAGTTAAAATATTTTCTTGAAATACATCCTCGTACATACTTTAGTTGTGCACTTAAAAAAAAATCCAAGTTTTTTATTCTAGGAGCTACAGATGCCCGACGCATTATTGCCGGACCCTGTCTTGCACTTATTTCTGGGACACCCTGTAGAATGAATTGAATCAATAATTATTTATCACACTATATAATAATTACTAGAGTATAAAAACTGCTATATTCTATGTAGATCATTATATGGTTTAGTCTTATTGGGGGTTTTGTTATAACATAAGCCCACGGCTACACAGAAAGCGTTTTTAGCGTTTTGCGTTTTTTGCGTCTCAAGCGCTTTTTGCGATGTTACCGTTTTAAGCGCTTTATTCGATTTGTGTTCATTAAAAACACGCAAAAGACGCGGCAGGTCTGCAGTTTCTATCAAGATGTCAATTAGTAACGTCACAAGCTCGTGGATTCCCGGCCCGTCCAACAATCAATCCTGTGAGAAAGAGATAGGCGAGATCGGCGCCGTTAGCATTGAAGAGACAAAGATAAAAGATGCGGGGATTGAATTGTGGATGGGCCGGGGCATATATTCGGAGACAAACACAATCTACAGCTAGTGCCAGTGGTGTGTGTAAAAATAATAATTATTACATATTTGCCACTTATTTTACGAATTTTAGTTTATATGTGTATAGTTTTTTATGTTGTAGTGTTGTGATTAGTACTTGTTATAATTATGATATAATATAATATAATAAATAGTTATAATTATATAATAGAATAGTAAATATTTCTAGTTGTTAATGCAATTTTAGGACTTGACTTATGAAACATTTTGGAATGAAACTTCTTTACGCGCGCTGGGAGTAAAAATTGAAGGCCGTGACATGCGACCTAGTGAGACGGCCCTGACACACGAGCTCGTTGTAACGAAACGTCTTAACGGCTTAGAAATACGTAGTGAGGCGACGTGTATTTGTGAGCAGTCCACGTGTTTATCAAAAATATTGATATTTTAATACAAATTTTGTAAAAGTGAATCAAATTATTACGTGTAAAAAAAATATTTGTTACACGTAAAAAACCATTTTTATTATTTTACGCGAATAAAACTGTTACACGTAAAAAAAATATTTTTACGAGTATAAAACTATTTGTTACGTGTAAAAATCTATTTGTTACACGTAAAAAACTATTTTTTACGCGTCAAAAACTTATTTTTTCTAGTAAAAAACCTTTTGTTAGGCAAAAAAAAATATTTTTTACGTGTAAAAAACTATTTGTTACAGGTAAAAAACTAATTTTTACGCGTCAAAAACTTATAGTTTCTGGTAGAAAACCTTTCTTACAGAAAATAAAATATTTGTTACGTGTAAAAATCTATTTGTTACACGTCAAAAACTATTTTTTACGCGTCAAAAACTTATTCTTTCTGGTAGAAAACCTTTCTTACACAAAAAAAAAATATTTTTTACGTGTAAAAAACTATTTGTTACACGTAAAAAACTAATTTTTAAGCGTCAAAAACTTATTGTTTCTGGTAAAAAAAAATTGTCAAAAAAAATTTTTTACGTGAAAAAAAATATTTGTTACACGTAAAAAACTATTTGTTAGGCGCCAAAAAATATTTGTTTCTATTAAAAAAACCTTTTTTACGCAGAAAAAAACATTTTTACGCATAAAAAAACTATTTTTTACGCGTAAGAAAATATTTCTCTAATTTATTACTTTTTCAACATTTCAAACTACACTTTTTTAAACATTTCCTTCAAATTTTTGAATTTAATAGAATCTACCTAAAGAGTATAGATGTTCTTTATAAAAATATTTTTAGATAATACCCTAAAAAGAAAAAAAAATGCTTACTATTTAATTTATTTTTATTGTATTATTAAATATAACGTCCGCCTATGACGGGGTCTCATCTTAGAAAACGCTAAAGACGCTACAGAAAACAAACTGATTTGTTTTCATTTGCTTTTTTTGCGAGACACGCCGAACGCTACACGCTGTTGGTGTGGCCACTCCTATATAATCCTGTTATTTTGTTTAAGTCGCTAAGACGCTTCACGCTAAAAACGCAAAAAACGCTTTCTGTGTGGCCGTGGGCTAAGTCAAGGTTTGCAAGCTTATTTGCAATGTACTTTCTGTAATTTTTTGTCTTGGTAAAAGGGCAGTGTGAAAATATATGCGATTTTCTAAATTAAAAAATGCACTTTATGTTAGTATTGTGCTTTTTAAATTTTAAACCGCCATTTAACTGTTCGCCTTTTTGTGCATTACTGCTGTATTTTATTCTTTGTTATAGGTTTATAGGTAAGCTATTATACCGGGTGCGTCTCAAAAGTGGCTCACCCCTATAACTTTCTTATTTCTTCAGATAAAAAAACGAGATTTGGTATGTTAGTATATGACATAAATTAGGATTGATTGACGTATTCGATTGTTTTTGGTCACTTCCTGTTTCACCGGAAATGACTACAACTTTTGATTTTTAAATGACGCCATCGGTATTTTTTTACTTTATTCGATAGACAAAAAATAGAAAATGATATTCTAAATAGAATGACATATCATATATCAATTTTTGACATTCTCCCTTAATAAAAATTCAATCTAGAGTGCCATGGCTATGTTAAAAACGTTAATTCTTAATCAAGGAGCCTTTTGGAAAAATAGATTTGAACGTCTAATGTTTTTAGTGTCTTGTCCTGGCCAGTTAGAAAATGCTCAAATCGTATTTTTAATCATATTTCAAATTTTTCAAATGGAACGAGGGTGGCTCATTAGGATATTTGGAAAAAGCATTTTTTTATGAATAATTTGATACCACACACTTGGTATTCCGAGTCAAAAATTTTCGTTACGAACCACAGGTTATAATGTGCCAAATATGCCATATGTAAAAATGTCAAAATTTACATATGATATGTCATTCTATTCAGAGTGTCATTTTCTCTCGAATAAAGTAAAAAAATACCGAGGATGTCATTTAAAAATCAAAAGTTGTAGTCATTTACGGTGAAACAGGAAGTGACCGAAAACAATTGAATACGTCAATCAATCCTAATTTATGTTATATACTAACATACCAAATCTCGTTTTTTTAACTAAAAAAATAAAATAGTTATAGGGGTGAGCCACTTTTGAGACGCACCCGGTATATCTCATATAGTTTTTCAGATTTCAATTCATATTTGATCTTAAATTTGGAACATCCTATACATTACATTTTTCACTTTTATACATTTGTACCAAAAGTATATTAGGCATTATATATTTGTTTAAATTCATTTTCATTTGCAATCTGTTTAGATATCAACAGGCTTAAATATAGGCTTTTTCAATGAAAATTTGTACCTTATTAAGGTTGACACACACTCGAGGTTGATACATTGTGAGACTTTTGATTTCACGAACTATAAAACTGAGATTAGGCTTTGATTAGGGTATGGAGGATATGATGAAGCCATGAAGCCCCGTTCTCAGAACATTATTTGCTGTCCTCCATTCGCGAATGTCAAGTTCCAGAGCTTTACGCCTTGGGCTACTCAGAACGGTTCTGAAAAGAGCTGTGCGCGATAGCCTCGCTTGTACATCCATATGGCGCGGAATAGTACTGAACTTTATGACTCAATTGAATGGATCATGTTCTTGAACAGTTCAGAGCTGCACCACTGCGTGAATGGAGGACAGTAATCACAGACAGTAAATTGACTGTCGCCACTGTCGCCAGCGACACGTTTGACTATCAACAAATGAACCAATCAGATTTGTACAAAATTCAAACAGCTGTCAATTCTGAATTTTGTGCAAATCTCATTGGTTCTTTTGATGTGTCGCTCGACAATACGAAGATAGAACTGAGAACGGTGCTTGATACCTCTATATAGGAGATTAAGGTAAGATGGTACCGCTATCCTCCATATATTAGAATTAGGGTTGCTATACATCCTGATTTACCCGGACATGTCCGGATTTTTAAAGTGTCCGGGGCGGTCCGGTCCAGATTTGAAAAAGCGTCCGGGAAACCTGACCACGCAAAAACAATTTAACTTATTAACCAAAATTTAACCAAACAAACAATTTAACCAAAAATGAGACGGCGTTGAAAAGCAGAGGTTATAATAACCTTTCAAATGATGTGCTACTCGAGATCCCGCATTATATTTAAGATTTTAAGGGTGGATGTCATCCCCGCGTGGGGTTTGAATTAGGGGCTTCAAAAATAGTCGCATCTTATTTCCCCTTCGAAAATAAAGTGGACGTGTTTCACCGTTTTGTCCTTTTCACACCAGAAATTATTTTAAATTGCCTTGTTTCGTTTGAACTGGGACACCCTGTATGACCACAAAAACAATTTAACTTTTTAACCAAAATTTAACCAAAAAAACAATTTAACCAAAAATGGGACGGCGTTGAAAAGAGGTTTTAATAACCTTTCAAATGATGTGCTACTCAACCCCGCAATATATTTAAAGATTTTAAGGGTGTTTTTAAGGGTTTGAACTAAGGACTTCAAAAATAGTCGCATCTTATTTCCCCTTCGAAAATAAAGTGGACGTGTTTCACCGTTTTGTCCTTTTCACACCAGAAATTCCTTTATTAAATTGCCTTGTTTCTTGTTTCGTTTGAACTAGGACACTCTGTATATCTCGGGTTTATGCAAGATCTGCGGTGCATGCTCATTCTGCCCCTATATCTCTGCTATCCACACATACCTATGGGCAGCTCCGGCGGCTCCGGCCTAAAATTAAAACAAAATTACGCTAGCTTCACATCTTATAACGGATATGTTTTTGAAGTTTGTGTGTTGGCTTCATGATTTGTTGACATTAATTTAAAATTTTAGATTTGAGGCTTTTAAATTGTTTTTTGCCTCATATTTTTTATAAAGAAAGTTTTAAACTTATAGTGCCATATACATGAAAGGAGGTCGAGAGAATACTTTTGTGATTTCAATGCTCAACAAAGTTTAACAGGTAGAGAATAATTACATTCAGATAAAACAATTTTATTTGTGAGACCATTAATATGAATTTATATGCTTTCTAGTTCTTTTTGATTATTGTAATATATTTATTTATGTTTTAGATTTTATCTCTACACAACTGTACTAAATAGATATATTCTCACAATGGATAAAAGGGAACTTTTAAAGCAAGTTGGTACATACATTTCAGATGGAAAATTTCGACAAGCTATAGAGTTTATCAATAATGTTAAACTAAATAATGAGATTGGTTTAAATATTTTAATCCGTATTGCCAATGTTTGTCATGATAAAAGTAGTGAATTACAAAATGAAGATTTTAAAGATATATGTCATTTATTAAAATATGTTCTACTTCACATAAGTACATTGAAGGGATCCTATTTAGATTCTTACCTGAAGTCAGCATTTCATATAACAAAAGTTTTAGTTGAGAAAGTAAGTTTTATAATATATAAATATATAATATGATCTATTTATGATGTGAAGTGATTTTTAGGAGTTGTATGAACACCTTTCAGCCATTGAATTCATGATATTACCTTCGTTTCTTAATGATTTTCAAGATTCCAAACATATATATCAACAAATAATCTCCAAGCTTTCTCATTCAATATATCATTTGGCAAAAACTAAGGATACCAGTCGAAACAAACATGTTTTAGATATTACCAATCTTATCTTAAAGTCGAGCACTAAAATTTCTGATGATACCATAACTTTAGCCAGGAAACTTTTCTGCAATATCTGCTGTTTAAAATTTAAAAGTTACGATTTAAAATTATTCTACCTTATGGTTCTAAAGACATTTAGAAGTAAAACTTCTTTTAGTATCGATGAGTTAGTCATACTAATAGAGATATTTTCACAAATATTTACTACTTTTATTAAAGAACGTGCTTTTAAGGATGCAGAAGAATTATTGAATGATATTGGGACGTGCACTTCTTGTGAATTGTTTATAGATTGCCATAAGATATTCCAAATAGTCACTGGGTTGTTTCCTAAAAAACTGAATAATGTTTCAAATCATATTAATATTGAATTACTCATGAATACACATTTAGAGCTAAAATACAGAATATTGCCTTTATTAGAGGAACCCTTAAGAGTGCTTTTAACATATTATGAAACAGATGGGCTACAAACATGGTGCTTACTTCCATCTAATAATATTGGTGCTTGTTTAGCAATATTCCAAAATAGTATTTTTAACTACTGGTTTAATAAAAATTATTTATCTAAGTCGGATATGAATGAAAAGTACAACATCATTATGAAAGTTGCCTGGCATATCCATAAATTAATTCTCAGTAATATAGAACAGCATAAAGACAGCTCGGAAGAAAATTTTCACTCCGTAAGAAACTGGTTTATTTATTGTTACTCGCTCATTGGAGAAATGAAGAAAAACAATTGCGAAAAATGGATTGGTCATTATAAAGTAGTTAATTCCTACACTCATAATATAGGTGTTGAACTATATAATCAAAGCAACGCTGCATATATACTCTTTTATGAAGAATTTATACAGAGGTTTATACAGTTTGAAGATCTACCTGAAAAAATTATAAAGGCTAGCCTAATTGAAAAAGCTTTTTATGTTATTTGTGAAATGCATTCCAAGAAAGGCGATATTTTGAGTTGCATGGCATTTGCTGCATTACATTGTTTATTGTATTTGGATACAAGCTCAAACATATTTTTTGTTTGGTGGATAAAGTCAAAGGTAAATTTAAATATTATTTTTATAATGATAAGAATATATTAGTTGAAAATGTGATAGTTCTCATTTTTTTAAAGAAATAATGGACAATATAACAAAATAATTTCAAATAAGAGTTAGGGCTGTGTTCAGATATTGATGGTAAGAGTAGTGATGAGCAAATCGAAGACCAAGATTTGCTTGATCGTGGTCTTGCAGTCTAATAGTAGTCTTACTGCAAGACTTACAAGTTTTGCACTTTTTAATGGATTTTTATACTAAAGGCACTTTCTACATAATATAAAATATTTTTAATAAATGAAATTTAATGCAATTAAATCTTTTTGAAGAGAGAAACACTATTTGAGGAGCAGACTTACTAAATGCATTTTGTCCATTTTTTAAGATTTTCAACCAAAAGTGGCATTACAAACTACATACACAGAGTCACAATATAATGCCAGACGACGTGATAAATACATTTTATCCTATAGGCTTGGTGCATTCTCCGCCGGTGCTGCCACTGCCGGAGAATATCGTAAATAACGAATACATACAAATACACGGGTTTAAATGGCGAGTAAACGAAAAAATTAGTATATAATTATTCTAAAAGTGTTAGAAAGTATGATTTGTGGAAATTCTAAACAAAAAAATATAAAGGTAAATATTTTGATATCTTCAGAAGGTCTAACTTGCATTATAATTTATTATTCCAGTTAAAAAAAATTAGATGAGTTCAACTACACAGTTGCACGCATAGTTTTATCACCGGTTTTGCTAGTGGAGCATAGTTGGAGCCAGGGTTGGAAAAAATCATGATTTTTTTTATTTAAATCAGATTTTTTTGATTTTAATTCAAAACAATATTTAAATCGTATTTTCAAATGACTAGGACTTATTTGCAATTAAAGTCCTATCCTAAATGACTAAAGCCCTGTTCTCAGAACGACGTCGTGTCGCTGGCGACACAGTTTGACATTTCAAACAACCAATGGGAGCTGTACTAAATTTAAAATTGACAGCTGTTTGAATTTTGTACAAATCTCATTGGTCCTCTTGACGTGTCGCTGGCGACAGTCGCTTTTCTGAGAACGGGGCTTAAAGCCCCGTTCTCAGAACTGCGTCGTGTCGACAGCGACACTAATTGACACTTCCAACGACCAATGGGAGCTGTACTAAATTTAAAATTGACAGCTGTTTGAATTTTGTACAAATCTGATTGGTTCTTTTGTCGTGTCGCTGGCGACAGTCGCAGTTCTGAGAACGGGACTTTAAGCCCCGTTCTCAGAACTGCGTCGTGTCGACAGCGACACTGATTGACACTTCAAACGACCAATGGGAGCTGTACTAAATTTAAAATTGACAGCTGTTTGAATTTTGTACAAATCTGATTGGTTCTTTTGTCGTGTCGCTGGCGACAGTCGCAGTTCAGAGAACGGGGCTTAAAGCCCCGTTCTCAGAACGATGTCGTGTCGCGGGCGACACAGTTTGACATTTCAAACAACCAATGAGAACTGTACTAAATTTGAAATTGACAGTTGTTTGAATTTTGTACAAATCTCATTGGTGCTTTTGAAGTGTCGCTGGCGACAGTCGCAGTTCTGAGAACGGGACTTAACTCTTAACTCTGAGCGATACCGATAACATTAACAATTCTATGGGGCGTGTTATTTTTCCACATCGGTCACCAATATATTCCGCAAAAAAAGTCGCTCGCTTCAGATCAAAAGGATTTTTTTTCAAACGTCTCAAAAGTATTAATTTTTGCCATTTTAACGGCTATAGGCACTTTTAATGGCTATAGGCAAGTAAAGCACTGTTACGCCTAAGCACAAAAGTACAAAAATATATTATTAAACTGATATTAAGTGTCAACGAGTGTGAACACGAAGTGTCAACAAAAATTCAACGAGTGTACAAATTGTTTCTCGATTGCTGTTTGTATTATTTGCAATGTTTGAAATTGATTAAAAAATTATTTGTAATTTTTTTAAAAAATAGTGTTTTATTCGGAGTAAAAATGTACTTTTTGTGCCTCCTTGTAACGTCGGAAAAGCTTACGATGGTATAGCTTTACGATGGTCCTTCAAATGTACAGCATCGTCAAAAAAAGTATAATTTCTACTCTTAATAAAACAATAGAAATAGTCTTAAGTCGAGAATGAAAATAGTATTATCTAATGTCAAAGTGTAAAGTACTTACTGCAAATCAAAATGTCGGTAAGAATTTGGAAACATACCAACGTTTCAAAAAAATAAAATAAAACAACATATTTTCTAACGACGATTATAGATTTTCGGGAATGAAGATATAGTCTCTATATCAGAAGAACCTAGTTCTGCACTAGTTGCCGAATGATATGTATTCGAAAAGCGAATTTTTGTCACTTATAAATAAATTTTAAAATAAATTCCTGCGTTTAGCGGTCTTATGGATTCACACGAAATTACTTAAATTAAATCGGTTCAACATTTAAATTGATGAATAGATATTTTCATATAGTTTTATAAAATTTACAATTATTTTTCGATTTATTATCTGTTATAGAAATATTTTTGATAGTTTTCTAGGATAGATTTTTATAACTTTTACAGTTATTTTTTGATTTATTATAAAGTTTCAATAAAATTAATTTTTTGATTTAAATCACATGATTAAAATTAAAAAAATCACTTGATTTAAATCAAATGATTTAAGTCATGCCAACCCTGGTTGGAGCTATTTCGGTTATAACGAAATTTTTTAAAGGTACATAATTATAATTTTAGAAGATGTGTGTATGATAAAACATTTAATCATTAGTTGATTAAAAAGGTATACCATTAATATTGCAAATTATATTTCATCTATCCTCTCATAGTATACCGGGTGCGTCTCAAAAGTGACTCACCCTTATAACTTTATTATTTTTTCAGATAAAACGAGATAATCCGGTTTCCCCGGAAATGACTAAAACTTTTGATTTTTAAATGGCACCCTCGGTATTTTTTTACTTTATTCTGTAGAAAATGACACTCTGAATCGAATGACATATACATCAATTTTTGACATAGTCACTCAAAAACAAATTTTAAAAACTATTTTAAATTTCAATCTAGAGTACCATGGCTGTGTTAAAAACACTAATTTTTAATCAAGGAGCCTTGGAAAAATAGATTTGATCGTCTAGTGTTTTTAGTGTCTTGTCCTGGCTGGTTAAAAGATGCCCAAATCGTATTTTTAATCATATCTCAATTTTTTCAAATGAAACGAGGGTGGCTCATTAGCATATTTGGAAAAAGCATTTTTTTACGAATAATTTGATACCACACACTTGGTATTTTGAGTCAAATTGTCGTTATGAACCGCATGTTACAATTTCAACTAAAGCCCAGTTCTCAGAACTGCGTCGTGTCGACAGCGACACTGATTGACACTTCAAACGACCAATGGGAGCTGTACTAAATTTAAAATTGACAGCTGTTTGAATTTTGTACAAATCTGATTGGTTCTCTTGACGTGTCGCTGGCGACAGTCGCAGTTCTGAGAACGGGGCTTAAATTCAAACAGCTGTCAATTTTAAATTTAGTACAGCTCCCATTGGTTGTTTGAAATGTCAATCTGTGTCGCCCGCGACACGACGCAGTTCTGAGAACGGGGCTTAAGCCATATGCCAAAACGTCAAAAGTTGATATATGATATGTCATTCGATTCAGAGTGTCATTTTCTATCGAATAAAGTAAAAAAATGCCGAGGGTGCCATTTAAAAGTCAAAAGATGTAGTAATTTCCGGTGAAACCGTAAGTGACCGAAAACAATTGAATATGTCAATCAATCCCAATTTATGTCATATACTAACATACCAAATATCGTTGTTTTATCTGAAAAAATAAAGAAGTTATTGGAGTGAGCCACTTTTGAGACGCACCCGGTATTTCTATTTAATTTTTTATTATGTAACGAGTACTTTATTTACTCACTTGTTTCGTCGAACTGCTTGAATCCATTTTTGCTATTGATCAAATCGGTGTAAGAAATTCCGAAGCTATAAAATGTTGTTTCGGGAGAGTTGAATATCCGGGAAAGTTGAGTTATTGAATGTTATCGCACCCAACAACGCCCTAATTACGCTCTCCTTTACGCAATAATTAACATTTTTTTGGGCAATTTTATTAATTATTGAAATTTTCACAACACAACAAGACGCCTAGTTTGAATTCTTTTTCACTTATTTTTTACTACCCGAAACAGCGTTACATCACACAAACCTCGAACCTGAGTGTTTTATAGTCTCAATAACTGCATTAGCAAAAAACTAAAATACTTAAATATTATGACAAAACCCCGATTTCAATATTATTTTAATGCGATCGACATGACGGCGGCGGCGGCGTGAACTATATATTGATAATTTCTGATTTCTGCCGTAGAGTGCGCTGCGGTCGGAATTTGTTGAAATCAACTGAAATGCACCAAGCCTATTCAAATTAAGTGGCGAAAATACCTTAGACTCTCTATGTGCTGTATGTCCATTGGCGGTAGACAAACAAACAGAAGTATGTTCCTGTGTGCTGTGGACATACTGCTGTTTGTTTGTCACTGCCAGATGAAGAGTTTTTCGTACTACCACTTCTCTATTTTCTGAATAATACTACTTAAAATAAAGAATGGAACTACGCCTGGTGACCATGTAGTTGGGGATACGGACCATGGTAGCAGAAAAATAAAGAGAAATTTCACGTCTAAAGGACAGTCAACAGTTTTTTTTAAATTATTTTCAGATATCATCAAAACTAGATTTTTTACATCTAGTTGTATTATTTTTATGATTTCTTATCCAGTTTTCAAGTATACTAGTTTTTCGGTAAATTTATTGCAAAAAGAAAAAAGCAGTTTTTCTTTGTTTGCCAATATTCGAAAAAATGGACAAAATGCATCTAGAAAGTCTGCTCCTTATTGTCTGATGAAATCTATTATTAGCCGACCATACCAATAGGTGTGGTAGGCTATTAAGATCGGCAAAAAAGAGTTTTTTTTAATT